GGCAGTACGGTGTGATCAGCACATGTCAATCAGACAAAAGCAGAAACATTCCTGCGGACACAGCTTTTTAAAGACAGGACATCGAATATAAACTATGTCTGGAGACTGAGAAAACCACGTTGAAAGAAATTAATTAAACTGCGGTAATATTAACTAGATATGAATGGTATGTTGTCAATGTAAAGTCAGATATTGAAAGCCAGATTATTTTCAATCGTGTCTCTGAAATCTTTCCTTTTTTTTCTGGTTCCCTCTCATTTTGATGTGCTGTTTATTCCTAGAATGGATTCTGCCACTATAATCAATCCACACTTATAGCCAAACTGAACAGTTACACCAGTGTCACTTCAGGAGACAGAGAAGCATTAAAAATGGCCATCTTTAAAAATGGACCAGTGGCTGTTGGGATTGATTGTGCACATAAATCCTTTCAGTTTTACAGCAGTGGTGTTTATTATGAGCCAGAGTGCGGTAAGTCTTCTAGCTTCCATAATGTGCTAATGGTAAGAAATATAATAGAGTTTTATTTGGAATAAACCTTAACAGTCCAATAAATTTAACCCCTATCGTTTGAATATGTTACCATTACTGCAGCGAATGTAGCTGCTGTAATCATAGCAATTATAGAAAACAACTTTAATTTTTCAACAGCAGACAGGTGATCAAAAAACATTATATCTGTGGGGCAACTACTTGAAATGTTTGACTCAGAAATATAGCAAACATGATTTCAAATTGGGGGGAGTAGTTGCACTGGAGGCTATGTAATCAGAAATTGCTGAAAAATCTCAGCAGATCTGACAGCATCTGTGGAGAGAAAGCAGAGTTCACGTTTCTGGTCCAGTGACCCTTCTTCAGGACTCTGAAGTAGAACTCTGAGTTCTAAAGAAGGGTCACCTGACCTGAAACTTTAACTCCAATTTCTCTCCAGAGATGCTGCCAGACCCACTGAGATTTTCCAGCAATTTGTTTTAGTTTCTGATTTCCAGCATCCATAGCTCTTTCGGTTTTAGTAGGCATTGGGGTGTTTGGTTAGCTCAGTTGGCTGGAAGGCTGGTCTATAATGCAGAGTGATACCAGCAGCACAGGTTCAATTCCCATACCAGCTGAGGTTACTATAAAGGACTCTCCTTCTCAATCTCTCCCTCAGCTGAGACAGGGTGACCCTGAGCTTAAGCCAGCATCAGTCATCTCTCTCTAGTGAGAGAGCAGCCCTATGGTCAGTGGGGCAATGGTGACTTTGCTTTTAATAGTACCTAATATTCTTAAGTAGACAAATAATTATTCAAAATATTAAATACAATATTTAAATGCTGCCATTATTTTATGCTAATATTAAATAAGCAATGATTAGCATAATGTTTGGATTACTGAGCTAGTAATTTAGAGAGTTGGACAAATAATCAACAGAATTGAGTCTAAATCCAATCAGGTCATCTGGAGAAATTAAATTCAGCTCAAGAAGTAAAGCTGGAATAAAAATTCATTCACTCCGTTGATGACCATTACACCGTAGGATTGGTGTAAAATCCCAAATGGCCCTTTAAGGGGAGGAAATGTGCTGGCCTTTCCAATCTGGCCTATATGGCAACCTGGAATTAAGAGTCTAATGATGACCATGAACTCATTACTAATTGTCAGAAATATCCATCTGGTGCACTAATATCCTTTAGGGAAGGAAATGCCCTCCGTTCCTGGTCTGGCCTTCATGATACTCCAGACGCAATGCAAAATCTCTCTGGGCAATTAGAGATGGGCAAAAACACCCTCATCCTGTGAATGAATTAAAAAATGTGATACTAGATCTACAACAACATGATCGACTCTGACTCTGAAATGGCCAGGTAAATTATTGAGTTGTTGAGAAAGTGTCACACCACCATCACCAAAAGGACAAAAAGACATTAATTGATGGCCTTGCCAGTGACTTTCCAATTCCTCTGAATGAATGTCAAAAAATAACGGTGGTTGGATATTTGGCAGATGTTTTCTCATTTTGACAGAACAACTTACTAATGAACCAGTCAGTCTGTGTCTCCATTTATCCAATTGTGCCCACTCCACCCCAGAATAAAGGATATGCCCCAGTTATTTGTGTGGTGAAAAATGGGGCAGCTTTGTGCAATTTATGTGTATGGATGGCATCAAATGTTACCCTGAAAACATTCTGATTCGTGCTTGTTTATGTTATGTAAGTATGAAATTTGCTAAAGGAAATTGAGACAAACTTTATGTGAAAGAAGTGTAAGGGAATCACTGCATTGATATCCTTTAATGTTATGGTCTTTCTAACTTAGGAAATGACCTGGAAGATTTGAATCATGCTGTGCTTGCAGTTGGTTTTGGAACACTTGCTGGTCAGCCATACTGGCTCATTAAAAACTCCTGGTCAGCATACTGGGGAAATGATGGATACATACTGATGTCCATGAAAGACAACAACTGTGGAGTTGCAACAGATGCAATTTATGTCACCCTGGAGTGACTGCACAGAAAGATATGTGAACATTTGACTCGTGTTATTTCCTCAAATACATTATCATTTAGTCAGAATTTATTTTTACACAGATAATTTCAACAGTCCTTGTCAGCATGAAGTGTAATAATCAAATACAAATGCAATAATGATCAATAAAGTTTAATCTTTAATTTCTTTCCTTAACTGCGAACTCTTGAAAACTATTGTGTATATGGCTGCAGAGTGCTTCTTTTTCATTATTGATGGAAGAGAAACATATTGGCACATAAAGGAAACAGTGTGATTATGCAGATGCAGCATTTCTTATGCTTCATGCTGGAAAACACTTATCCCAATAAATCATTGTAGAATGCTTCTTCTGGGACGACGTCCTTTTGTTCATCAATAAATGGATGTATGTAAAATGAACACAATGATTCTCTTACAAATTGCACAAAACTAAAGCACAACAAAAGAATGTAATTGACTAATTTTCCTACAACATAAATATAAAATTGTTACTAATAAATCTAATAAGAAACTCAGAAACAAAGTTTTTTTTTAACCAGAGCATGGTAAAAATGTGGAACATACGAAGTGGTTGAGGTGTGCAGTATATATGTGTTTAAAGGGAAGCTGGATAAACATAGGGGAAAATGGAGTAAAGAGGTGTGCTGACAGGATTAGATGAAGTAGTTAGGAGGAGGCTAGTGTTGAGCATGAACACTGGCAGACAACTGGTTGGATATCCAAGATCATGGTGACAAGTTGCTCCCTAACTGCTCATCCTAATTGTTGGACGTGAAGGAACAAGGAAGGACATACCAGTAAAGCTGATGAATGACACACAGTGAAACAAACCAAAACAGAAATTGCTGGAGAAACTCAGCAGGTCTCGGAGCATCTGCAGAGAGGAAATGGAGTTAATACTTTGAGCCCAGTGACCCTTCTTCTGAATGGATTCTTCAGGATTCTGTCCTGAAGAAGGAAGATATCAAACTTGAAACACTAACTCTGTTCTTCCCTTTCTGCCAGACCTGCTGGGGAAAAGACCTTCATTATTGACACTATCCATGACCTTCATGATTTTATAAATTTCTACAAGATCACCCCTTAGCCTCTGAAGCTTTAGGGAAAATAGCCCCAGCCTATTCAGCCTCTCCCCAAAGCTCAAACCCTCCAACCCTTGCAACATCCATGTAAATCTTTTCTGAACCCTTTCAAGTTTCACAACCTCTTTCCTATAGCAAGGAGACCAGAATTGAACACAGTATACCAAAAGTGGGCTAACCAATGTCCTGCACAGTCACAACATAACCTCCCAACTCCTATACTCAATGCACTGACCAATAAAGACAAGTGTACCAACATCTTCTTCACTACCCTGTCAACCTGCAACTCCACTTTCAAGGAACTATGAACCTGCAGCTCAAGGTCTCTTTAGTCAGCAACACTCCCCAGGACCTTACCATTAAGTGTATAAGTCGTGCCCTGATTTGCCTTTCCAAAATGTAGCACTTCACATTAAACTTCTTCTGCCATTTTTCGGCCCATTGGCCCATCTGATCGAGGCCCAGTTGTACTCTGAGGTAACCTTCTTCGCTGTCCACCACACCTCCAATTTTGTTGTCATCTGCAAACTTACTAACCATATTCCTATATTCACATACAAATATAAATGACAAAAAGCAGTGGACCCAGTACCGATCCTTGTGGCACACCGCTGGTCACAGGCCTCCAGTCCAAAATCCATCTCTCCACCACCATCCTCTGTCTCTTACGTTCGAGCCAATTTTGTGTCCAAATGGCTAGTATTTCATGTGATCTGGCCTTGTTAACCAGTCTGTCATGTGGAACCTTGTGAAACGTATTACTGAAGTCCATACAACATCTACTGCTTTGCCTTGCTCACAAAAACAACTGTGTGAGATGTGTACTGAAGAGTGGACCCCTTCCCCTAAACTTCAGAGTACAAACCTCTTCAGTAACATGGCTGCTTCATAACCAAGGTGTTTCCTTGCACAAATGCTTTACAGTGTTTAGAAGTGAAGCCTCTCCATGTTGATCAGCTCATGAGAAGTCTCAGTCATACTCACCATTGCTTGTTGTTGTTAAATGCTTCCAGGGTTAGAGGTGAAGCCTGGCGAGGTCAACAATCTGTCCAAGAGAGGCAGAGTCATTGGCTGACACCTGCAAAACTGACTGGAGCAGGCAAGATGGGCTTAACTCAAAACTTGTGCTCAGCTCAAATTGTCATCAATTTGTGCTCATGGCTGTATCCAAGTCGTGTGCAAGCCTTTGGTGAAAAGAAGTACCAGATGTGTACATTTTCTTCACTGCAATGATGGTGCATGAACTGCTGAGCATTGTAGCTTATTTTACATTTCAAGTGTGAATCCTGGCAGACAATTGAGAGGTGGTGCCACTGTGATGCCAGTCATGCTACTTTGGTCACTGCACTAAAGTGGCAGAAATTGATTGCACATGAGTCATCTGATGGAGATGCCTGGCACTCAGCCTCCTATATGACAAACCTCTGTGGACACATAATGAAAGCACAAATTTATTATCTGCTGTTCTCAAAAAAAAATGACGTGACATCAAGCACATCCAGATAAGTACAAAGTTAAAAAGAGATAGTGTCCTGTAAAAAAAAATAAAAAGAATAGATAGTTTAAACTCCCCAGGGTATCCTTGAGACATCATGTTTTAACCTAAAACAATGATTGTTTAAATGCATTAGCACCTATTTTTCTTTGTCCTTTTGGCTGTCAGTATTCTGATGTTTACTTTTAATCAGCTCTGTCCCTGGTCACTTTTTCCTCTTGAGAGTATGAGAGTATTTTTGCTCATTGGTTCCAGCCACCAGATGTGGTTGATGTTTGATTCAGTGTATATTCCTGAGAACAGCCCAACACTTTGAACCTCACCAGATTCGAGTGAATCTGTATTGCACCCTCTCTGAGTGGGTAAAAATCTGCCTTACGCTGCAAACTGTCACACACCTCAACCAGCTTTATTAAAAACAAATCTACTCATTTATTTCATTACTACTTGTGGGACCTTTTGGTAGACAAATTAAATATCATATTTTCTTATGTTAAAACAGTGCCTTCATCTCAAGTGTATGCAATTAGTCGTGAAGCTCTTGGGACATCCTGAAGCCGTGGAAAGTGCTACATTAACGCAGTTTTTGCTTCTTAATGAGTGTTTGGGCTGGACAGCGGGGTACATTTCAGAAATAAACATGATGTGGACTGGAATGGACAAAGTCAGAAGTCAGACGACACCAAGTTATAGTCCAACAGGTTTATTTGAAATCACAAATTTTTGGAGCATATCCCCAAGCTTGTGATTTCAAGTAAACCTATTGGACTATAACCTGGTGTCATGTGAGACGTAAACATGACTGAATGATCTCTCAATCACAAGAATCCACAGTTCAGGCTCTTGTCTGCATTGTGCTACTTCACACTGCCGATAAACAAAACAATACTGGAAAAACACAAACAGGATCTTCAAAGAGAAATCATAAGTTATGAAATGCTTCAATCTCAACACTCTCACTTTTGATTCAACTTCTTCATGACTCCAGGACAAGCTTCTAATCACAGATTTGTTCAATCACCAACACAGTTTCATTCTACCGAAGTAACATTGTCATTTTAATACTGCCATTCCACCCATAGAGTCATAGAGCACAGAAACAGATCCTTCAGTCCAAACCATCCATGCTAACCAAGTGTCCCAATCTGTCAGAGGCTGTGAGATAGAGTCGTTGTGTATATTCCCCATTCTGATGAAGTGTCAATGGACCCAAAACATTAGCTCTGTCTCCTCTTCACAGATGCTGCCAGATCTGCTGAAGTTTTCCAGCAATTTCTATTTTTATTTCTTTCAGATCTCCAGCATCTACAGATCTTTGCTACAACAAAACAAAGTATTATATTCTCAATTCTGAAGAAGAGTCACTGGACTCGAAATATGAACTCTGTCATTTTTTTTAACAGATGCTTCAGATCTGCTGAGTTTCTCCAACAATTTCTGCATTTGTTCTGCAGTTCTTTGTTTTAATTAAAGGAAACTATGGACAGCCTGAAATAATAAAATACAGGCACTAGTTCCTAATTCAAGGTATATCCTTAGATCTCACTTTGAACACTATAGACTGTCTCGTTTGAAGTCAATGTTTGTATTTTGCTGTTTCCTCTGTTGTGTTCAATTATTAGCGTTCAGCTGAAAGTCGTGATTGAGCTGCTTACGGTTAGGTCCAAAGTTTGCAACATGTTGGTCCGATGACCATGTCTAAATGTCTCGTGCAGTGTGGCGCTGATGGGGATGTGAGTGTGGGTGCTGGTGGGGATGTGAGTGTGGGTGCT